AAAAGTAATAAAGTTGAAATGTTGTTGGATATTTTTTTTATTTATTTATTTATTTTTTTTTTTGGAGAAGATTTTGAAAACACATTTTGAAACAAATTGTCATTCCGATCAAAATTTTTGATAATGGATGAGAAGTGGTGTGTGGCTTTGCTTTTTATATCCGTTGAAAATGAAATACAAATTAAATGTATGTGTTTCTATGTATATATATATATATGTATGTATATGTGCATCTATGAGAGATATATGTAAAATATGAAAAATAAAAGAAAATGCTTTTCTTCTTCTCTCAAAATTTGGAAATTTAAATGCGTGCTCTTTTCCGCTCTATTCAAACCGGAGCACCGCTACTCTTCGTTATTCTATTCTATGGAAATATTTTCATAGGAAATTTTATATAAAGTCAATCTTCTTCCCCAGATGAAAATTTGCGAAAGATATTCTCTTTAGATCACCTTGTCGACGAAGCGTAAGCCTTTGGTGGTTATTGCAGGAAAATTGAAAGGACACAGGATAGATGATATCGATTACATCCAATGTCGAATTCTATATGTTAGCTTGCGATTAAATCGTTTCACAAGCATTTGCTTGAGTATATATATGCGTTGCATATATTATTCAATGTTTAAGATATTGATTTCATAGTTTCGGGTGTTTATCAATTGAATTGAATGGCAAGACGCGGTGGTACATGGTATAACAACATATCGAAAAAAAAAAAAAAAAAATAGATAATTTAATTGAAAAATGTTTATTTCCTTTTTTTTTTTTGTTTTTTGAAACATTAGAAAATTAAAACCAATGCTAGAAAGACGGGAAATATCATTGAACTCAAAAACTTTTAAAATAATAATAAAAAACTTATTACCGACGTCTTTTACTAATAGGAGAGCAGCAGTAGTCTCGATTATGTTATTTATTAATATATTCATGGAATTGCTAAGGAATTCGTTTACTATATACACGTGCATACTACATATGGAAAACAAGTGAGAACGTCTTCTTAACATTAAAAAGAGAAAATATAAATATTTTATTACAAAAAAAAAATGGCTGTATTTTTTAAAACAAAAATCATAACAACATAATAAATAACTTTAGATTTATTGTTATATTATTAACGCGAGAATTTTGTTAGAATAGAAATATTAAACGCGTAAACTGTTTATTTGCCTTTGGTGCAAATATACAGCAATCGATACGTAATAAATAATACCTCAAAAAGTAACAAATACAAAATTACAACAATAAATATGTCAGAACACAGCGCTTGGGGTCAACGCCCAGCGACTGCTGCCGAAGCTGCCATATGGTGGCCTAGTGCGGCGCTCGCTGCGGCTGCTACACAACACCAACAACACCTGCAACAACAACAACCATCAATTGATCAGCAAACTCTTCAACAATATCAGCAACAATTGGTTGCCCAGCAACAACAACAAGCCGCTGCCGCAGCCGCTGCTGTACAGCAGCAACAACAATTGCAACAGCAGCAGCAACAGCAGCAACATCAACAAGTTGTCGTCCAACAGAATCAACAGCAAGCCCATCAGAATAACGCCAATACGACGTCCGGTGTCGGTACACAGCAGTTATTCACGTATAAAATGGCCAGTAGTTTCCCAAATCCAGCGACCACAATGGCCCAGGTGGTCGCCACCTCAAACGCGGCCGGTACACCAGCGTACGATTATCGTTTGAATATGGCACAGGCAGCCGCCGCCGCTGCGGTGCCAGGTTCCCAGTGGTGGTATTCAGCCGCCAATCAAGGTCAACTGGATGCTAATGCAGCTGCTCAGTTACAACAGCAACAGCAACAGCAGCAACAGCAAAATGCGGTAAGTGCGATTATATATTTTACATGCTTTTCACTTTTAAATTTATTCCGTTCACATTTTCCTTGAAGTTTTTTTTTTATCCATTATTCCCAACAACGACATCGCTAATAACCGCCACTTCACCGCCCTTCAAAGCAGCGTTAATTGTCGTTACAATTGTTTGTACACGTTTTTTATCCTCATTTCACACATGCAAACGGGAATCTAACTATTTTTTTTTTTTTTTTTTTTGGTGCTAGCCTAGCATATTTAAACTTTCATATATTCGCCAAAAAAAACCATCTGCCATATAACCATGTAAAACGTTTATGTTCGATTGGGACCGAATCTTTTATACCCAACACCAATAATTCTAATTAAAAAAAAAAAAAAAAAAAAAAAAAATTTTACATATTTTTTTCTATCTCTATTTAGCGAATGATGGGCGTGATTGATTTTTTCCACTTTTTCTACGATATTGGATTTAAAAATTTTTATTTTATTGTCTATTGTATTCTACGAGTGATGGGCAAAAAAGACCGGAAGGCAGACATGTGCGCCGTTGACGTTTTACTGTAGGCGTATCCTTAAACTGATTTTCACCCAATTCAATGCCAAATTTGTTTACCTCACACGCTGCATTTCCATTTTTGCGACCAAGCGAATATTAATCACTGACTGATCACTGATCAAGTATATATCTACTTTAACGAGTCTTTTGAAGCTATCGAATTCTTAATAAGTGTAAAAAGTGAAATCAACCTAATCTTGTCTTTCTGTCAGTTGTTTTTTTTCAACTTCAAAATTACGATACATGTCAACATTTTATCCAGAAAAATTAACTTTTTTTTTTTTAACTTTTTATAATCTACACCGTTTGTGGTGCAAGAAAAGTATTTTAAGTTTGTGCGTATGTATGCAAGACACCCAGAAAGAGACACTTTTTGAGAGATAGGCGACGCCCCCCCTCTATTACGGTTTTGGTCGATGCCAGAAAGTAACTCTAAGCTTTTCTGTTCGCCTATCCTCCATGCTTTGCTTGTGTTCAATCTACACTGGTTTTGGTTTTGGTCCAAGGATAAATGCTAATGAAAATGATTCGGATCGGATCACTTCCTTTGTAATATCTTATTTTGACAAGTCGTCGTTATATGAATAAACTTAGGGTGATGCAGGTTATTTAGTGGTGAGCGGTGATAATTTCTTAAAGACCTTTTTCCTGGGAACAGCAATACCTCATGACACCAAATTGCACGTAATTGCATGTATGTGCGCTTGACCTATTAGGTCGAAACTTTTGATATAATTTTGATGAAGTTTTGATACATCAATATCGATTCACCGTAAGGTGCCATATTGTGAAACAATCGTCACATAATCACGATCATTAAGTGAAGGTATATATGATCAAAGAAATCCACTCTGAAATGAAATTTCCATGACTTGAGTATTTCTTATACTATGCTTTGAAATTTCTTTACTCTTTGTGCGACAAGAGAATGGTTCGGTCAAAATAACTAAAGGGAGATCACCATAGTATGTAGGTAGATTAAAAGGAAGTTAACGACAAAGAAGTTAATAAATAGTTGTAAGGATCTAGTGAATCAGTTATCCTCCATTTATGATATAAGGATATATTAAGTTTATGCGGACGCATGCAACAACCAGTAGGGCTTATGCGCTAGACCCAACCTTCATTACACCGATCGATGAAATATCACTTTCTGAATCCGAATTCAGCTTGTCTGTCCCTTTGTCCGTCTTGCTTTCTTATGTTCAACCAAGCAATAGGCTGTAATTTCTGAAATATTCTAATGAAATTTGATGCAAGGCTATGATGGATTTTGAATCACTTTTTCGTCCCATAACATCCTATATATATAATGTCATATTTTAAAAAGTCATTATATGAATAATTATAGATTGGTGTAGTAGTGTAGAGTATATTTACTATGTTACAATGTTTTTACTTTCTTTCCATCTAATTCTGAAGCAATTTTCCAAATTTTTTTTGTTCATTAGGTAAGCAAGTTACACCTCTCACTCGCATCCATTCCATGTATTATGTATCCAATAATGAATATATAAATAAATAAATAAATAAATAATTAGAACTACAATGAAAATAAAATAAAATCAAATAATACCACGTGCTTTTTTTTATTTTCCTTATTGTCCGTATCATTTCAATACAAACATACATCTATATATATGCATGCAACCATATACATACCATACATACATACATACATACATACATACATAATAACATACATACATACATATGCATAAATGTACCTTATATTTGCAATATATATTTATATAATAATCATTATGTATTATGCTGTTTTGTTTCTTTTTTTTTTTTTTCATTTTTTATTTATTTATTTATTTATTTTTTTTTTGTTTGTTGCTTTTCTGAAATTTTTTTTTTATTCGTTTATCATTCATGTTTTTATCATGGTGTGTTTGATTCAATGTCAATGTCATTTTCATTGATAAATAATAATCAACCAGCAGAGTAATAATAATATATAATGAATACGTTAACACAAAAAAAAATTTTGCTTTAAAAAGAAGGAGAGCGATTTTCCCTTTGTTTCTTGTTTATGCTTATGTTATATATATTTTGTTCGTTGCTTTTTCTGCCATTCCCCATTTAGATTTGCTTTAAATGCAGTATATTTTGCATATGCAAAGCATAATAATTTTAATCGTCTTTAATCGTGTTATTGGCTCTCTCATTTTGTACTTTCGAATATTCTCTTAACGCAAGATTCCCATACTTACTTTCTTTCTTTCTGTCTTTCTTTCTTCCTTCCTTTCCTAATGATTAAATTTTCAGATCTATATAATTTTTTCATGCCCTTCGCCTCTTATTTAAAATCAAAATGCAAGGACGGACTACACTATGCAATGAATATATCTTGTATTGAATTAATTATTTATCGAGTTTCGCAAGACAAAGTGGTGTTATTCCATTTGCAAGCGGTTTAACTTATCCCGCGTTACTTCTGCACACGGCATAGTTTTTTCAAAGCTTAAATATAATAGGTGCTTGCATGTATTCTAATCGTTTTTTTCACTTAATATTAATCAAAATATTTTCGATCGTTTTCGAGAACTTTTTTTTGCCACCAACCGATATTGATTTTGTAGCGATCCATTTCTCAATCATCGATTCATTTTCGCACTTCTTTACCATTTCGAAATGGCGTGCCAGTCAAGCCCTGGTATATCGATCTGGATACGTGGTAATTAGAAAGAGCTATGTCTGTTTAGTGCGCAGTGAGTGCGGCAGAACTTTCAGTTTATGTTGTCCTTGACAAGTCTTCCCGCATATGGTTGGCCGTTGTCACGCAAGAGAATGACTTTGCTGCCATTGCTGCTCTTCTTCTTTACCGCAGTACATCGTTCAATTTATTCAATTGACATCGGCCAATATCTACAGTAACGGATTCATTTGGTTTAAGTAACGCGCAAGAAACTATACCTTACTCCTTAATCCTGCCATATGCATAGCGAAACTTTATCTCTAAGAATATTCCGCTTCGGTATCGATGTGAATGGCTCTCCTCGACTAATTCACGATTTTTTGCGATTGCGATTGTCCCGAGTAGAGCCAATTTTCATCGTCAGTCGTAATACGCCGCAGAAAAGTCTTTTGCTGCCTGGCTGGTAACGCAACCGCGATATTGGAAAGACATTTTTGGTCAATACTGATGGTAGCTATTTGTCCTCCTTTTGCATCTTTACTATCGCATGTTAACATGTAACTAGAAACGGTTGATTCATTTACTGCTAAATTGTTCGAAAGTTATTTGAGAGTTTGAGCTGGATTTTCATACAAAAACTTGTGAAATCTATTGTCGTCGAATTTTTTTTGGACCCCCAGATCGCTACTTGTGTCATTGAAATATGATGAAGCAGCATTACCATAAGCTTTTCTAAAAGCGTTTGTGATGATAGACTTCGGCAGCAGATTTTTTCAAATCAAACAACAAAGGTAATGAATGCTGGAAATGCAGTTTTGGCGTACCAGGATTAGCGTCAATTCACACTGGGTAACTCAATAATAGTAAATAGAAAATTGTTACTTTACGTAGAGAGAGGTCAAAATCATCCAATTTAACCACGCATTACTTCATCATTTTCACTAATAGATGTTGCTGATCAAAACACATGCAACCACTGAGTTTCTCCGGGTTCGTCTAAGTTCGTTTTCATATATGGCTCCGGGTTCTTTATAGCAAGTTCTCATTGTAATTAAAGCCATAACAATAAAGTTTTCCTTTCCACTATTTTATAATCCTTGCATAGGTTGCAGAGAAAGGTTGAGAAGAAAACGTTTAGCTTAAGCTTTTGCTTGTCATTGTGTTATTGACGTGACAAATATTGTGAAACAATTGATTGTTGGCAAAAACGAAGGGTATCGGCTCTCAACGAAATGCTGAGAAAAAAAAGGATCTGCTGAGATGGGGAAATGTTGAGTTATTCTCGGGATTCCTGTCATTTTTATGCTAAACAAAAGCACTCACCTTACGCTCTCTTCATAAAGACTTCGGCCATTCTGCGATTGTTGAGTTTTTTTTTTCGAAATTATTTGCCTAGAATCATCGTAGGTGTGAAAAGTTGCAGTTTTTCGCCTTATTTTCGCTTTTTTCAGGCATTATAACAATGATCGGTTGGATCGATCAGACCAACATCATTAAATTGACTCAAAATTTCATATATGTTTTATGCTTTACGTATCTTACATAGGAGCGTTTCCTGGCATTGCAAAGCGGAATGATAAAAAAATGGATGTAAAAAATGTACTCAAAAATTCAAGACATTTTCCTCAATAAAGCGCACACTTTGTCCCCGATATTGGAATAGAATTTACTGCAAAACTTTGGCAAAGCTATATATAAACAAGTTACAGTGTTATAGTTGGGAAGGGGGGACCATCATTAAATATGTTAAATCCATCAATTCATCCGATATAAGTTTTCATTACGTTTTGTTAAAAAAGATTGTAT